TGTATTGTCATTTTATTGGAAAGCTTTTTCGGCTATTTTCTTTCTTATAATATCATTAAAATTTTTTTTTGTTTTTTTCATCTTTATTCTACTGTGGAAATTGTGCACATACTAATTTTCAGACATAAGCTAGAATTTCAATTTCAGTTAAATTGAATTTCAGACAGTTTCTATTTATCTTAATTACGGGCAACTTTTTGAGATAAAAAGTTCTTAATGTACTGTTTTTCGAAGTTAGAAATGATTTTTTTTTAGAAGAGTTAACAAAAAAAAAAACAAGATTTGAATGCTGACGACCTAGTGGTTGTGATTATATCCATAAATTGATCTTGAGAAATGTGTACATATGTGTGAATTATTTAGGAAAGTTTTCTTTTGTTTTTTAAATTTAATCAAAATTTCAAATAGTAGAGTTCAATTCAAATCACGAACAACGAACTACACACATTTGTCAGTATAGCCTACAGACATATATCATATTGGCTACTTTATGTTAATTGTCACTTAGTGTAATTCTAATGTTTCTCGTATTATCTACTTTATTGAAGTAGTTAACCATTGGAGTACTATTATCATTATGTAATAAGAATATCCAAAAGACAAATTATTCTCACTAGCATTTTTTCATGGTATTGTTTTTTATGTGAAGAACATTCAAAAAAAAGTTGAAGAATTGAATATTTCAATTTATTAACATCATAATATAGCAGAGATGGAATTGGTTCGGTTCAGTCTAAGAACAGAATCACTGCCATCTCTGTCATATTGTTAGAATTTTCTTTCTTTCGTAATGATGACATAATAAATATCTTACTTTCATATTCAGGTTTTCCTTCGTCAAGATCACATGTAAAAAATGTTTGATGTTCTTGAGCAGATAAATTCATATCATGAAATGTTAATGGTTCTTTTCCATTATATTGTATTAAACGTTGATATTCAGCTCCACGAAATAATGCACATGGATTTTTCCATACTTTACATTCATTAGTTCCAGTCACCGGTATTGTCGAGTCTGTACCATTTGATAAAATACAATTAGTTATATTATTATTTCCATTCTGACCACTATTTAATCCATTCATTGTTGATGATAATGGTAAAGATAAAGATGATACATCATTATTTGTTAATGATGAATTATTTGATTCAGTTCCATTTAAAATAGGTGTTAAATGATTTATAGAAACTTGTTCTATAAATGATGTACCATATCGTTTAAAATACCACCATTCAAATATCTATGAAATGAATACCAACATATATATATATACATGTGTTCCTTTGTTCAAAGTAAATCTTCTTACCAAAATAAGACCAGATATTAACGATGATGTACCCGTTAATGCAACATAAAATTTTGGTGTAAGAGTATTGAAGAACATTGTTGCTAGGAAAAAAAATAAAACAAACAAATAAAAGATATTTTCTGTAATTTTCAACTTGTTGAACTCTAAATATTATAGAAAACTAGGATCAAACACTTTTAAAAAAAAAAGGAACCGGATATGACAACCAGAAAAAATAAGGATATGTATGTATATAAATAATTAGGATAAACTTACAAAAGATGAAGTTAAGCATGTTTGATGTAGATAAGTGAAAGCCAAACGATAGAATGTAAAAAGGAAAAGAAGGAAAAATGCGTCTTGGTGCGCGTAGTAGAATACTGTAGATACATAAGAGAAGATGTAGAACAGTAACGTTAGCAACAGCAAACCAGATGTCTATTTATATATATATATATATGCATCGAGAAAAAGATAAAAAGAACCAGAGTGAAGCGAGAAAAAGACACATATTCCTTTTTTTTCCACCAGTTAGATTATTCAATTATATATTGTGAATAGACTTTCATTCATGGATTTTGAATAATTTCTATTAACTCTTTATGTTTCGAGAAAAAAAAAATGAACAAATTTTCTTCATAATATTGATTAATAATTCTAGTCTTGTTTGATTATCATTGAAATGTCACTTGTAAATTATATTCGATTAGTATAACAAAGAAAAACAATAACGATTTAGTCTTATGTGGTAACACAAGAAAAAAAAAGCCACATTTAATCAGCTATGTCGAAGCATCTTATTTATACTATTTCAATCTAACGTTAACTTATTTCAAATAATAGAAATTTCAGTAATTATTATTTAATCAAGATTTTCAGTCTAAACTCTTATCTTCTACAGATTTATAGATGAAAATATTATGATTAAAATAATCTACACTATCTTTATTATAAGAATGTTAGTTGTAGAAAATAATTAATATTATTTGTTTTTGAAATAGGGATTATCATTTCATATAGAAAAATTCTTACATTATTGTCAAATTATAGTATAAATAATATTAAAAAAAACCTAGTGTTTAGATATCGAAATTTATATATCTATTTTGTTCTTCTTAGAACAATCGGTTATTATATTATTTTTTTGTTTCATACAAAAAAAAAGAACAAGAATAAATATTAGATTGTACAAATATTCTTTCTTTTGTAATCGAAACAATAAGATATTTCTAAGATAAAGATAAGAAGAAAATACTAGTTAATGTTTGTTTCAAAATCACAAGATTTACTTTGTCTGAAAGATTTTCTATTGTTTCCATGATAAATTTGTTTATTTCGATAAAATACAAAAGAAAAAATAATGTCAAAAACAACATCTATTTAAATGAATATAAAAATAGAAAACTCTTTGAAAAAGAAACGTTAGAAACAATTCATCAGAGACTGTAGCAAACATTATTAATGTACGATCAAAGACAGTACATCAATAACGGCACATTGTAATATCTTAACTACTTTCTTATTGCCATTCTAGAAGATTGAGTAAAAGAATGTTGAAGTGATGTGTCTCATGATAGATAGGAGAAAAAAACAATTTCTCTATAATTAGTAACATTAGCTACATTATCTTTCACATTTTATTCTCACTGGGATTAGATTAACAGCTTTTTATTAACAAATATATAATTATGAAATCTCTGATCTCGATAAAGATAATTTAATAAATCTTATAATTCATTGTTTCTTATGTTCTCTTTTTTTTTCTTGTTCATACTTTGATGCTTTGTTTTCTTGTTAGGTCTCACTTGTTCTTTCTCTTTTCATTTCATCGAATTGAATTTATAACACAATAAAAACAAGCAAATGTGTGTAGACATCATAATTAATCAAAGATCAAGTCACATTATTTACTTTAGCAACAATGAATAGAAGAAAAATCACATAGCGAATGATCAAAAAAAAAAAATAATTTAACAAAAATGTTTGTTCATTCTTCAGCCTCTTAATGTGTTATGTAGATATTGAAAACCTTCAAGTTCAATCAAAATTTATTGTTCTTTTCGAATGTTGATTCAAAATTTGTACAGAACTTCTAATTTAGAAGTGATGAACGAATCTTTTAAAATTCTGTAAATTAAGTTTGCATCAATTTCAATGTGTTAAAATTTAATAAAACGTAGAAACGAAAATCATTAAGCTCAAATTTCTCTCTAAAATGATATACGAGTTATTAGTTAGCTATAATTTATTTGTCAACAATGACTATGTGCATATAAGAGACAACATGTAAATTTTCTCAAAACTGACTTGTAAATTGAATTCAATGATTCCTGTAAATCTTAATTCTTATGTTAAATTTTAGTGCAAAACCTTCGTCTTTAATTCAATGCAAATAATCGATAATATTATATATGCAGTAAAGTAGTCGATTGCTTCTAAAAGAACGATTTGTAATTCCTAGAGAAATATTGATTGCAATTGCATGATTTCAAATATTTACAATTTTATCAAATTACTTTTCCATCAACTATTCTTATTATAATTAATTTAGTATCAAAATGAAAACTAAAAAACAAATAAATAATTCAATATTTCAAATTTACCCGTATTAAAACTGTTTATAATATTAAATGGACCACGAATAGATGCATAAAGAAGAAATATAAGTAGAATAAAAGATATCGCCCATAGATAAGTACAAACATATGTTACAATTGAACGTATTTTATTTAAAATATTTGAATTACCTAAATAGATACATAAATTAATAAAAAAAAAACGTATCTATTATCTATTTCAAAATAGAATGTACCGCACTGTTCTTTAAATGAATTTTAATAGGAATATCATAGAGACCTGCGGTTTTTATTACTCAAAAGAGAATACTCGAGACCAACAAACTATATCGAATTTTGGTTGTCATCCATAGAATTAATTAGATGAGTTCTTAATAGATATTTCCGAAAAAGATATGCTGCAGCTATTTTGCTTTCGATCGATACAAAGCTGATATTTCTATCTTGTTCCATTCGAGAGTTATACAACTTGTCGTGAGACCTCCGATTTAGTCAACTTATTTGTAGTTACTTGAAAAAGCAACTAGACAGGAATCATTCGCCATGTTGAGTCAAATGCTGATATTTGTTTGTAAGTTCGAAATAATCTAACACTGTTATCACAATATTTCCCGAGATTCCGTCATTAGACTGTAAGTAACGAAGAAGTTAAGCTTTCAACGATACTGAAATAATAGAGTCAGATCATTGAAAGTAAAAAAAAAACTCATTATTAGAATCAACATAGTGAATTACCTTTGATCAACTGCTTCTCAAGATAATGACTATTCGATTGGTTCTAGTCGAATGTCTCATGAAAAGTCTGATAACTCTCAAATAGAACAAGCTAGGGATATTGACTTTTGGTGATGGATAGTAAATTTTAAACAAAGAAAAATCAAATTTTACTTGTTTCATCATCATCTTCATTATCTTCTTCGACGAAATTTTGGTGATTAAACATGATATAATGGCGAAATGAACTTATTGTAAAAGCAATAACAGCAAGAAACATTAAAATTCAATCTAGAAAAAAAAAGAATAAAATAATATTTGCTTCTCAAGAATAATCTATAAGTTATATATTGATTGTTTAAAAAGCATCCATCGACCAAAGAAATCAAAAAGAATACTCTCGCAATTGTCGATTAAATAATCATGCAGTAGGCATCGGTACTTTAGTAGAACGAACTCTTTTAGCAGCCTGTAAAAAAAACAGTATAAATAATAATCAAAATTTTTTCCTTGTTTTTTTTTGAAATATTTTACTTCTCTTTCATCTGGTGTAAGTAATCCTCGTACAACAAGTATTTGATAAACTGGTTTTTGAAATGATTGCAAACTTCGTCGAAAAATATGTGCTTCTCCAAAAGGATTTTTAAAGAATTTTTCTATATTAAATTTTGATGTACTTGGATCGAATATTAGAAGACGAATGTTTCCATTATGAAATTGTTCATAACCAACAATTGTTCGACTATGACCTATTAAAAAGAAAAAATCTTTAATAATTATTAAACTAATGAAATATATCACATGGTTTTGTTTGAATTCATTTAGAAATTAAATATTTGAGACAATTGCTGATTTAAATGATTGAGAGATGAGAACTATTATGATTTAAGTTCAAAACTTTGAATGAATCGAATAAGATTTCTATTTAAATAGAATACCTAAAGCTCTTATTATCATAGTTAGTAAATATCTACTATATTCATAAGTATAAAATCCTTTGATATTAAATTTAAAAAAAAAAACAATTGAAACGTACTATAAAAAGTGTCAGATGAATTTCAATTTTTTTTCTAACTGAAAGAGTACAAATCTAAACCATGAAATATTTTATACAATAATTGTTTATTTCAAGCATTATGAACAATCGAAGGTCATACTATTATTTAACATTAGAAAAGTATAAGTAGAAAATCTCTTTTATGTATTCTTTCGAATTTATGTAAATGAACTATTCTCTTTTAAGGACTTTTGTTTTTTAATTAAATTGATATTTCACTTTTAAGACTATTACATGAACAAATTTTCTATTATATTCGATTTTGAAATAGACAAAATACTTATATTCATTTACTGTTGTTTCTAAATTTCAATTTTTCGAATAGACAAACATCAGAGAAAAAAAAAGAATCGATTGTTATATTATATAAAGAAGAAATTTTAATATTTATCCAACATGTTTTTTTTTTCATGGCATATATAAATTTAGCAGAAAAACAAAAAAAACTCATATTATAATTGGATATACCTTCATGTTGTAAATATAGTGGATGAATAATATTATTTCTATTTTCTTGCTGTTGTTGAAAATATTGTCTAATCCATTCAAATAAATATTTATAAGCATTTGATTTATTAATAGTTTTTGGTTGATGAAAGTCAAATAATTCTGTTCTAAATTAAACAAAAAAAAAGAAATTTATATTATAAGAAAAAAATAAAAATAAAACGAAAGAAACCCTAATTATTACTTTATATTTAAATTTGCAAGACAAGCCATTATTTCTGTTGGTCCAATCCATTTACTTGAATTAATTAAATGTTTATTGAATTGTTCTCGACCCTCACTATCAAATCCAGCTGTCCAAGCTGTTTCAATTAATTTTTGTAAATAACTAACAGATGGTATATCACGATTTGTTTGATTCACTGCTTCATGACCAAATAAATGCATTGAATATTGAGGATCATGACGTAGTGATGAAAGTAACATTTGAAAATTTTTATAACCACATGCCCAACCTTGATCAAGCCATGTTGCACTTACATGATCACAACCTGGTCGACATAAACAACGATCCATAAGATTACCCATTGGTAAACGTAAAAGTATTGGAATAATTCCTAATTTAAAAAAACAACGAACCTGTTAACGCAAGTCCTAAGGGATTAAAACGTGAAATATGATGAAGATTCTAGTGCTAATCACAAGAGGTTTTTTGTATTCTATTTTGAGATCCACCTCCTCCTCATCATTATGCTTTTATTTAATCCTTCAGAAATGTAATAAGGAAATAGTTGAGATATTATAACGAAACATGATTGATATCTCGTCTTTGATTGTATATCAACAATATTTGTCACAATCTGTGATAGTCTCTGAGTAACATCTTTCATGGTTTGTTAGAGATAGATGCACATTTCTATTTCAATACATCATTTAGATTGTTCTTCATTAAAAAGCAATGTTTTTAAATTATTTACCTGTTGATCTTGATTCAAATCTTTCTATTGGATTTGCAATCATTTCATCTAATTTATCCTTATATTCTTCATATTGTTTTTGTGAGACAAATTTTTTTTTATAAATATTATCTAAATTCCATCGAGCTCGTTCAGCAAATGTTCTTGTACTTCCACCATATCGATTCTAGAAAAATAAAAACCAACAAAAAAAAAAAATGCGAAATTATTTTTGTATTCTTATTTATTAACTTGAAATTCTTCAAATGATTGAGCATTTTCTTCTTCTTGTAACATACGAGCTATTTGAGTATCTTCATCATCTTGTAAATATTCATAAGATATTTCTGAAGTTGCTTGTTGTCGATATTGATTTTTCATTCGTTCACGTCGTTCTAATTCTTGTGCATATAAACTATCTGATGCTGTTGTCGTTGTTGTTGTTGTTGTTCTATTTACAGAAATATGATCATGATCTTCATTAACATGAATTTGAAGAACAAGAGGATCATAATATATTTTATTACATAATGGACAACTATAATTTGTTTCATAACATTTTTCATATTCATGATGTAGTGAAAGTAGAGTTGTATCATCAAATTTTTGATGACATACAGAACATTCTATGGATTCCATATCTATAATAATCAGTACAAAAAAAATAATATTTATTCATAATTCGAAATAAATCATATATTTTAGAATGTTAAAATTATCTAAATGAAAAAAAAAAATATTCTTCCGTTTCGAAGCATACTGGAATCAATATAGAAATATGAATTATATCTGTTGCATTAGAATTTGAAACATTTTTCAGTTTATGACGAAAACCTGATCATACTTCTTTTTTTTTTTATTAAAGAAAAGTTGTATTTTCGTAGATCAATATAATGATTTCTGTAAGTACGTTTATCTGATTAAAGTAGAATTAAACACTCGATTAAAAATTATGGATTAATTTTTTTTATGCAAACAAAAAAGAAACAACATAGCTTATTATTTGTAGAGTTCAAAATGAAAATTTTCATGTAAATCTAAATATATAAACTAGAAATAAATTTATATATTGCGACTCATTAATTCATACAATAATCAACTCACAATTTCAATATTATTGAATGTGCATAAGAAATATTTGTATGTTATGACCATCACACATAAATTAGATCAATATCAAATTATCTTATCGTAGTTTTTGAAATTAACTCGTCGCTATTCTATTAATCTAAATCAATAGAAAAAAAAAACTAAAAGAATAACAAAAAAACAAAACAGAAAAAGACTCGATTCGATAGTCCCTGCAGTATTTTTTTTCTCGTTAAATTTTTTTTTTCTTTTCGTTTTAACAACAACAACAATAGCCAAATAGAAAAAAGACCAGATGGCCATAGTAATACAGCTATAACAGTAAAGTAAATTTTCAGTCAAACAAAACACACATACACACATGTGTGTCAGTGAACCGAAATAACAAACAAACAAACAAACAAGAAAGAAAGAAAAAAAGAAAAGAAAAACAAATAATAGAAAACAACTGAAAGTAGATGAAAATCAAAAAAAAAACAATAGACGTTTTCTTTTTTTTTTTTTTGTTGAAGCCCGTTTTGATATAGCTACTGCTCATGTATATACGTTTTGTTGTTTGTTATCATCATGAATGAAAAACAAATGAGCCTACACACACGCACACACATTCACAGACACACATACATTCACTGTGGAAGTAATCGAGGAAGAAGAAATGTTGTCGTGGTGGTTGTTGTACCTGGTTCTTGTTTAATATAACAAAATTGTGGTTGATGTTGTTGCTGTTGTTGTTGTTGTAAAGCAGCAAATGTAAGTAATTCAATAGTTGTTGTTGTTGTATTATTTGATGTTGTTGAATGTAATGGTGTTGTTGTATTGCAACCAAGAATTTTTAATGTTGTTGAACAACTATTTTCATATTCATCCATAGCTGCTGCCATTGTACATGATGATGATGATAATGATGGACTTGAATAACAATAAATTGGAAAATCATCATCTGTATTTGCTGGTTCACGTTTTATGAATTGTTCTATTAATGCATCTTTAAAATAAAAATATTTTATTTATATTGTTTATATTTTATAAAGAGAAAAGACAAGTAAGATTAAGCAATAAAAATCGACTCGTCTCGTGATATTGAGTTTTTTATTTTCCTGATTGTTAGTCCAGATGTCAGGAGTCTATTGGTGTTTGATTTTAGATTACATTCTGATTGCATGCACTTGATTCGAAATGCAATGTTGATCGATTCCCTATATGCAATGTTTATGTATAAATTTTATTTCCCTTCTTCAGCTTCTGTAATTTGACTGATGTATGAAAATGTTAAAATAATGTTTTTCTTTCTCTTTTTCTTTTAGATGATCTTGTTCAATTGTATATATTGCACTATTTAACTGATATTTGATAGGTTTTGGTCAGAATAATTTGATTTTCTATCGAAACAATGATATGTTTGGAATCAGTATAAGATACTGAGTCGATCTAAGTAAGTCATAAAATTAATTATCATCCAAAACTCAACCTTAAGCTTCTTTCGAATTACGTCAAAAACTAAAGTCAGTTCAAAGTTCGGTTCGATTGTAAAAAAAGTCACTTTTAAATTTTCAAAAGTGTACGAAAATCAAAAATAATAGATGAATAAATCATAAAAATGATGCTTTGATTAACTTTATTTTTCGACGTAAGTCAGAGGCGGACGAAGACTAAATATTTTAACCACATCGGAAATCGACGGAACATGGAAGCAATATTCCGGTGAACGAATCCAGTGATCGGATTTATCCAGTTCCGGACGAACCAACAGAAACTTGAAAAAACTGGTAGCCGGATACGGTCACCGGATTTCTGCGTTGAATTTCTGGCATTTTTCCGCGAGTTCGGCCGAAAACGCTATGTTTCCTGTGAGTTTTCGCTGGAAATTCACGGAATACTGCTTCAGGAATCATCGACCTGGGCCGAATAAATACTAGTCAAAAAAAGACAAGTATTGAGTCTCGAGATCATTATATGATATATAATTCAAAGTAGATCACTGCTGTCACAGCTCAACAGAAGATGAGTTTTGCCATAAGTGTCCTCGTACTATATATATGAATAAATAGTGTTATGCAAAGGAAAAATGAAATGAACAATATTTTGTCATACTCATATAAACCATTTGAATAGAGAAAAACAAAAATTTTTATAGAAACATTGCATAGCATCATGATTACGTTTTTGATCAAACTTTCAAAATTTGAACGACAACTAACTATCAAAAATATAATAAACTCAACTTTGAAAGAACGAATCGATTTCATTAGTTAACAAATTTTTTTTCTTTTGCATATTTTACCATTTAATGTTGCTTGTCGTAGAACATTACAAGCAACAATTTGTGCAGCTGCTTGTAAACCAGTTGCTGTTATTTGTTGTTGATGTAATGGTGGTGGAATTGGACAATTATTATTATTTGTTGTTGTTTCAAAACATAATGTTGATGTTGTTTGTTGTTTTGTTATTGGTTCTTTTGATACAAATGTACCATTACGAAATAAAATAACTTCACGTGGTGTTGATTTAACACGACGACGTGTTGATGAACGTGTTGATGCTGTTGTTGATGATGATGCTTTTAATAAATCTGTATCATTTGAACATGAACCTGTTGAACTTAAACCTAATGTTGTTGTTTTTGAATCTATTCGTGTTGCATCTTCTGCTATTATAACAACACTTGCTTTTGGTTCTATAGAAAAACAAAAAAAAAATTCAAAATTCTTGATTGAAAAGAATACTTCGAAATGTTATATGTTTATAATAATATAAAGTGAAGATAAACAAAAAATGATTGATTAAAGTATAAAATAACTCAAATGTCAATAGATCAAATCAAAAATTGACTATCTTCTTTAGTATATATAATTGAAAAAAAACAAATTGGAAATTATTCATGCAAATAAATTTACTAGATTATTATTATGTCTCAAAGGATTGATTTTATTTGAACATATAAAAACAAAATGCTCTTGTGTAAATATTTGTTATCTAATTTTAGTTGATATTATATTCTATCGAGAGACATAGGAAATTCTTCTTAGAATGTTAGATTAATAGCACAATTTTCAGATTATTTTCTTTTACTTAATTAACTAAGAAAAAAAAAAAAATAAGAAAAATCTTTCTTTTTTTTTTCAAATTATTGAATACAATATGATTTGTAAACATATGAATACGAGTCGTCATGGTTGAGTGATTACATTATTCAAAAAGTACTCACAAAGTACGATATGTAAACCTCAATACCACTAGTCATGAATGATTTTAAACAAGTCACTAACAAGTATTTGTCTCAGATGACTGGTTCGATAAGCATGCTAACGACCCTGTGACATATCCTTGCTCTTCTGATTTGTATGTGGTAGGGAGCGCAACTACTCTGTATCAAGGCAACTTTCTGTCTATAGCTACAGTTAGTCATAGTTGTAAGAAAGATATTAGGCTATTGAATTTGCTGTTAGTCAGCACATTCATTCCATAATATAGCTAAAAGGCCGAGGTATTCTTCTTCTTCAATTCAATAAGATATTATCATTTTTTAAGTGTAAAATACAAGATTAAATTTAATGTGTCTATGTAATATAAATATACTTTAAATAGATTTAATCTGATAATATTTTGAATGATTCACATGTATTGCAAATAAGTGTCGAATTACTCATAAATTATAGGCTTTGACAAAATCTAGAATTTGTCATGAAATATTATAAATCATTATTGTATATAATATTCTTATCTTTTTTTTATATCAACATATCTTTATCAGTTCATTCGTAATTTCTACTATGAAAGAAATATCAATGTAAAATTTCGCAATTATATTGATGAATAATAATTTCAGTTTTGAAATCAATGATGAATCATTCGAGAAAAATTACGCAATTTCATTAAAATTTTCTTTTCGAAATCAAATATACTAATGAGAGAACATATCCAAATATCCAATCACCTTTTGATCAAGATTATACTTTGGACGATAGAATATGATGGCTATTATGAAAATCTAACATCATTCCGTTGTCTGAGTCTTTGTTCTTGACATATCGAATTTCTACTTGAAATTTTGCATAAATAAAGCTCATCATGATATTAATTTCATTAATATTAGTGTCTTATTTTAAGATATCAATGATAAAAGCTATACTAAAAAAAAAAAGTCAATTTTCAAACTAAAATCAATGAAATTTTCATAATGAACTAGTATCGCGATGAGAACAAAGATTCAAACGATCGAATTATGTTAGATTTTAATGCTGCTCATCATAGTCATATTATCTAAGAATAATTTCGATCGGATACTTGACAATGTTCTCTTATAAGAATAATGAAAAGATTTAATAAATACAAAATGAGAATTTTATTAAATATTTAATCTAAAAACTTTTATAATATATAATAAGGATTACCTGCTGTAGTTGAATTTAATCGTCGTTTATTTGCTGCATGACTTCTTGATGTTCTAAAGATAAGGAACGAAACAAATGACTTCTATTAATAAAATAAAAACAAAAGAAAAAGAAAGTCAACTTACGCTCTAGATGAAACTCGGCCACCTCGTTTAAATT